TGTCTGTTTTGGCAGGTCACTGCGTGGTGTGGCTCTCTGACTTTCACAGTTTAAAATTTTGGCTCTTTGTGTCTAACTTGTTCGCCACCCCTGCAATAATTCCACACTAGACTTGCCTTACAAAGGCACTTTTTAGGCATTTTTTTTAACCAGCATTAGATTTCTAATGTAATCAAAGGCAATTGATATAGTGATGGCAACCTACTATTAACAAATATTGAAAGCTATGATTGATTTCACATTCTCTTACATTTTAACTCTCCATTAGCCCTGGCCTCAAATTTCAGAGGGCATTTGGCTGGACATGTATGATCTGGCAACCAGAGGCAGTTCCATTTTTCAACACTTTCCTAAATATGATTGTTCAGGCTGAGAATTTCTACTAGGTTAATGAAGAGGGGAGGCATAAGGAGAGGAATGATGCAGGCCTATGCTAATCGCACCACTTGTTATGGTGGGAACAACTTCATTTGGAACAGGTCTGCCTGATCTATTGTTTCTGCTGAGAACAGTTGTGCAGAGGTTATGCTAGGAACTCATAAGCATGAAAACAGCTGCCATCTTATGTCTATGGACAGCTGCCATGTCCTGGATTTCATTGCTAACCTATCTGAAACTCCCGAGTCTATTGTTTTTTGTCCAGGTACTAGAAGCATAAACCATATATTTGTTTTGTCTTACTAGAAGCCGCAGTTCCTCCTTGGGTTGGGTACAGCGAAGAGGAAACCATTCAGCAGCAGATTTTGGCCCTGTCCGCAGTAAGAATTTCTTTCATTTACCTATGAAGTGTTTTAGTGTCTGAAATTGGAATAATTTGCCATCTCCTGACAAGCAACTTTTTCAATTAGTGCCTTTTAGTAAAGTCTATTTTAGTGCCACCTTTCTCTGGGGTGAATACAGGTTCATTATTAATGGACACTATACTGAATGTGGGTTCAGTATTCAAGGACACAATAATGAATGCTGGTTCAATTTTCAAGGACACTATACTAAATGTGGATTTGATATACAGGGACACTATACTAAATGCTGGAGTTGGTTGTATTGTAGGAATGGTCCGTGACTAATGAACCTGCATTGATTACAAATCACTGTTTTACAGTATTACAGCTTACACAGTATGTGGTAACTGTTCTGTTTTTTATTGTTTGTCCATTCACTTCCCCCTTAAGTTTTATGTGGAATAGTTTTGTGGGATTAGGTTGGAGCTTTCCACTGGCACGTGTCCGGGTTGCGCCAGATAATTACAGTGTACCTGTAAAAATGCACCGTGTTTATAGAGTAATTTGTCAAGCTAGACATACTCACCAGCCACTTTATTAGGTATACCTGTTCAATTGGTAACACAAATTGCTAATCGGGCAAAAAAATGCCAGAAGATCAGCAGTTTTTGAAATGCTCAGACCAGTCCGCCTGGCACCAACAACCATGCCACGTTCAAAGTTCCTTAAATCGCTTTTCTTCCCCATTCTTTTTTTTTTTAAATCAGATCTTTTTTTATTTGGCTTTTGAAGATGTAATTTTTTAACAAACAAATGCACAACATTACAAACAATACAAAGACAATAGTCATACAGTGATAAAACAACAATCAGTAAATACACCGTGTGAACATATATCCTACAACAATAAGCCCATTACACCAGCACAGGTTGACCCAATTCAGTTTCTCCTTCCTATTGTATCTAGCTGCACTTGTCTTTTTCACAAACTTGTAAATTCCAGCTGTTATATCTTACAATTAAGGCCCTTATGCGTTTTATAGAGAAAACAATCTATTTGCTATCATATGGAGCGGAGCCAAACCGGGTGTTGCCAGCCAGGGACCCCATATAATTTAAAATTTCTAATACAGTTTCTGTGTTGAAATATTAGTTTTCCTCTGGAGATTACATTGTTAACCTGAGTTTTCCATTCTGTTACGGATGGAGGGCTGAGCGATATCCATTTTTGTTCTGTCAATTTCCGTGCTATATAAACTAGTGACAGAAGGCATCAGCTCCATGGGTACAATAGACTCATCAAACATATTAAGCAGGCATATTTTAGGTTCTGAGGACAAGGTAACTTGATAAATGGAGGATATGAGAGAGACAATATCTTGCCAATATCTATGAAGTTTCGGGCATCTCCATAGCAAATAAATAAGACCTGTCGGACCTCTGTCACATCTAGGACACAAATATGTGTCTCTACGTTTCCATCCGTACAATTTTTAACCGGTGTATGATAAACCCTATGAAGTATAAAAAGTTGGGTGAGTCTCTGCGTTGGCAACAAAGATACCATAGGGAGGGACTTCAACGCCTGCTCCCACAGCTCCTCTGCCAGTGGTCCTAAATCTTCCTCCCATCCCCTTCTAGCCGGGATAGATGTGCATGAGTGTATCTCCATCATCAAAGTCCCATATAATTGAGAAATGAGCCCTTTTTTAGAATTGGTTCCTTTAAGCAACCGTAAGATTGGATGTTTTTTTTTTTTTTTTTTTTTTTTTTTTTTTTGTGCTGTATTATATGTATGAGCCTGGGTAGTTAGGGCATGTCTCAACTGTAAGAGGAAGTTCCACTTTAAGCCTTTGTACCCGAATTTGACAGGTACCCACTCCGACTTCCTCTGCTATCGCCTAGGCAATTGGAAGCGGAAGTTGTCCTCCAGCCCACCCCCCTCCCTCCCCGTAGTCTATTGGGATGCGTGACATGTCCCAGAAGACTACGGGGCCATTCACAAAGCGTAGCACTTCTCGTGCATTTGCAGTGGGCACCCGGCTGTGAAGCCGCAAACTGTCACAGCCGGGTGCCCACACTAAAGATGCCAGCACCAAGGAGAGAAGACAGTCGGTGAAACCAGCGGTGGTGAGGACACCGCTGGACCGAGGGACAGGCAAGTGTCTGTATTTTTAAAGTCAGCAGCTATGGTTTTCTAGGTGCTAACTTTTATTTTATTATTTTCAGGTGGAACTCAACTTTCATACAATTGGGACAAATATCTTACCTTCCTTTCTTGCCACATCCCAAAAACCATTAATTTGTTGACATCCAGAAGGAGGAAGTTATTCCAGTGTGGGGTACTATCAGTAAAAAACCCTCGCATTTCAGTAGCTTATTAACAGACCATAACTGATGGAAAAGAAACAGTGTGGGAGAGTGTTGGGATGATGCGAACATTGCAGCTTCTATCTGGGAAAGCAGAGAGTATTCAGACCTAATGGATAATAAAATCACCTGAATAGGGTCTGCGAAATCAAGGGTATCCCAACCCAGAAATTGCTGAAGCTGGGCAGCAAAAAATACATTTTGGGGTTTGGGATGGCCAGTCCACCAGCATCCCTTCCTGGTTGAAGTGTGGATAGTTTAATTCAGGGAGATTTCTTCTTCCAGACAAGTTCTTGGAATAGAGCACCAACCTGTTTATACCATTTTTGTGATATCCAAGTGGGAGAGTTATGCAGGATATATAATAATTGAGGGGGCCCAGGTAATTTTAATCAAATTAGAGCGGCCAACTACTGTTAGGGGGAGCCTACACCAGCAAGCAGACTTTTGATTAAATTTGGCTAGCAGAGGGCCCAAATTCAAAGTATCTAGACACTACAAGATGAATAAGAACTCCTAAGTATTTAAAGGAGTCAACAACGTTAATTTTAGAGGCATCAGGGGGTAACTCCTGTTTTAATGGGTCTAATGGAAGCAGAACAGATTTGTCTCAATTGATTCTAAAACCCGAGAATCTGCCAAAGAAACAGATCAATTCCATGAGGGTAATCAGATGTTGTTGTGTATCACCTAAATATAATAAAGTATCATCAGAATAAAGGCTAATTTTGTCTTCCCTGGTACCCTGTCTAAAACCAGTAATGTTGTTATTCTGTCTAACAAGTGGTTCCACTGCCGGGGCGAACAGCAGCGGAGATAACGGACACCCTGCCTTGTGCCCCTATGGAGATTAAGCGACTCCGATAGCACTCCATTAATCCTGATCCTAGCTCTTGGGGAAGAATATAGCAATTGAATCCATTTTATGAAAATGGGGCCTATTCCAAATGCCTGCAAGGCCACCCACAAGTAAGGCCACTCCACACTGTCGGAGGCCTTAGCAGCATCGAGTGACAACACCACTCTCCCACCCCAAATCGTCAGCAGGTATTTGCAGATTAAGAAATAGTCTTCTAATATTCGTGGCTGTAGATCTAGTTGGGATGAATCCGTTTTGAAACATAATTTGTAAGTCTGTTGGCTAACGCCCTAGCAGGAATTTTAACATCTGTATTGAGGAGGGAGATTGGCCTATATGACTTTGGGAGTGTGGCATCTTTTACCAGGCTTGGGAATCATCACTATCACTATGGTATCGGGGAGGGAGCCCTGAGAAAAGGCTTCCTCCATCTCCTCCAACTCCGGAAGCATGGCCTGGCCATATCTATTATAAATTTCAATAGAAAGGCCATCGAAGCCAGGAGCTTTATTATTGGCGGCGACTGCCTCTACGCGTTTTCTCCCCCACTCTGATGCACGGTTTGAATTTCAGAAAGTCGTCTTCACCATGTCTACATGCCTAAATTCATTGAGTTGCTGCCATGTGATTGGCTGATTTAGCAATTTGTGTTACCAAGCAATTGCTTAATAAAGTGGCCGGTGAGTGTATATTATTATTATACAGTATTTATAAAGCGCCAACAGTTCGCTCAGCGCTGTACATTACAATGGGAGACAGAACATGCGACAGTACAACAATACAATGCGATACACAAGGGGTTCGAGGGCCCTGCTCCTTGGAGCTTACAATCTAGGAATATATGAAGTCTCGTTCATGTGAACAGTGTGTTCCAAAGCTGGAAGATGTGGAATATGCAGACAGCAGTAACACTTCTGTTATCTTGGCTTTATTTTTTTATCTCTGTAACTTGCTCATATTATAGTGTTTGTGTTTTGACATCTTAGGATCGAAGAAACTTCCTCAGAGATCCTCCTGCTGGTGTCCATTTTACTTTTGAATTTGATCAGATGTACCCTGTTGCTCTTGTAATGCTTCAGGAAGATGAGCTGCTTAACCGTATGAGATTTGATCTTGTCCCCAAACTGTAAGTAACCTGAATCTGTTGTCATTTCTCATAACAAAAATGTAATCTGTTTTCCATTTCACTGGGACTCCCACTGCTGTTTATCACTGGCCGTACAATGAGTGAAAGACCTCAATCACAAACAAATACTGCATTCTGGCCCCTAGATGGAGCTGACAATCAGTCATAGGCGATGAGAATTACAGCATATGGTGAAAATTTGTTGTGCCTGTGTACACACTAAAACATTCGTACGGCATTTTTTTTAATACATAAACCCCTTAAAGTTTTACTAAACCCAGGACCCTGCATTCACTATATCTGGTCTCCCACAGTACACAGAACATGGAAATGCAATTATTTTAGTAGATACAAACTGCTAAATACCTTTTCTCATCAGCAGTTAGAACAGTCTTGTGACTTCTATCAGTGTCCAGCAGAGCACTGGTTAAAGCTTGTAGGAGGAGTTTTCATTCAGCTCAGGAGGCTACAAAACCCCTGACTTCTGTGTGACCAGTGCTGATTGGCTCTCTGCTGATCACATGCACTCTCCAAAGCAAAAAAAAAAAACCCCCCAAAACCTTTCTAGCAATACACACCAAACCTAACATGTGCAGAGTGTCTCCACACGATAAGTCTTATCAGGAGATAAAAGGGGGGAATCAGAGAAGACGGGATCAAACAGCCTTTTTACACAATGCATAGGATTAACCCCTTAGGTTCCACAGTGAGTATAACAAGCATGCTTTACTGCATATGCAGACTGATTTTACTGTTGTGGGCTTAGTAACACTTTAAAATCAAATGTATTATAAGTCTATGGTAATCCATTTTTTTTCAGAGTGAAAGAAGAAGTCTTTTGGAGGAACTATTTCTACAGGGTATCACTAATAAAACAATCTGCACAACTAACTGCATTAGCAGCCCAGCAATCCACAGGCAAATCAGACAAGACAAATGGCAAGACCGATGATGGTGGTTTAGAAGGTACTAGAAACATGGCTTTTGTAACTAGAATTATATGTTTTGTAATTAGAGGGTTGTCTGGGAAAGTTATTATCCAGGTCATAATGTAGCCAGTAGTAGTCTGAATGTGACTAATTACTTTTATTTATCTGAGTTATTTACTTCACTGCGTGTAATCATGCATGCTGGTCTTCCCTTCCAGTATAATGTAGCTAAAGGTATTCTGAAGGTATCGGGTATCCAGTTATGTACTCATTATTATTTTAAGCAGTGTCTGGCATTCATATAGGAAATCATTACTAATACATTCTGATGATAAGGTTGGAAAATCATTGTAACAAATTAAAGAAAACTGGAAAGTGAGCAGCCTACAGACACACAGTTAATGAATAACTTTAAAATCTCTTCTGTGGAAGAGTCAAGGCAAGACTTCTGGAGTTTCCTGTGACAGAAATCATTTTTGCTGCGTGGTTAGGTGGGGGACTAGACCCTTGAGTTGACTTATGGGAGTTGAGGTAATTGGCAAAGTGGAGCTGCTTTCACTGGAAGGAGTTGATTGGAATAGCTGGGGCACACGGTGCTCTATGGGGTAGGGTTTTGTAGGCTGGTATCTAATGCAGCTGTGGTTTTAGGCACTCAGAAACTCAGCTCTGCTGAGATGATCGTGGGAAATCAATAGCTCTTTGCTGCTTAATCGATCATGGTAACTGTGCAACTCAGGAAGGAAGCATAGAGTGTCAAAACAATACTTTTAGGTCCCAGGTATTCTCAAATGTTCTCATGTTTCTTCTCTTTCTGATCTTGTTTAGAAACTGTCAGACCAAAGACTCCACCTGTTGCTATTAAAAATCAAATGAAAACTCAGGAGGTAACTCATTTTCTCTATCGCATAATCACTGTGAAATACCATGCCATTTTTATTCTGATTACTACCATGTTTGTCTATCATGAAAAAACACGACAGAAATCAATTCTACATCATTCAAAATTATTGACACAGGCTGCAGTGTTTTAGCTAGTGTTCAGAAAACAAAGTCATCATTTGCTGTTACATTATTTATTATTTGTTTTGCTATTCTTTGTACAAATGGTTAAAGTATTTATTGTATGTTTATGTAATCTAGTAATCGCTAATGGCAGTTTTTTTTCAGCTTTATCCACTGCTTGTGTTTATTTTATGTTCCTACACAAATACACTAGTTTCATGGAGTACCAAAGATCTATTTCTTTCCCCAATGTCCTATTCCCAGGAAGAAGAGGAGATTTCTACCAGCCCAGAAGTATCTGAATTTGTGAGTGAAGCATTTGATTCCTGTGATATAGACCAAGAAGACCTACGGAAAGAAATGGAACAGCTTGTGCTGGACAAAAAGGACGAGCTTGACACAGCAGAAGGTGACCAATTTAATGTACTATTGTTTGGCATTGGAAAGGAGTATGTACAGAATGTGTGGTTTGTGTTTTTTTTTTTTTTTTTTTTTTTTTTTTTTTTTTTTACACTTTGCAATGTGTTATTTTTGTATTTTTGCTGATTTATTCTGCACTAAATCTGTTTAATTTTGTAAATGCCTCTATACTTTTGCCACTTCAAGGTATGTTGATTTTTATCGTAGAAAACCCAACACATGCAACCTGCTTGGAGACAGCCAGGTCAAATATTAAAGTAGACTTTGCACAAATAAATTAGTCACATGACCCGTTATACAATGCTCCAATGTTTTATCAATAAATTAAATTGAATCCTTGAGCTCCAGGCAAGTGACTGACCAGGCTGAAAGGTCATCAGTCTGCAGCAGGCAAGATGAAGCATTCGCTCAGTCTCCTATCCTTCAGCCATCAAACTGCAACATTGAAATGTTAACCCCTTGACGCCAATGTAACACAAATATGCAGCCTCACAGAACTGGGCTATTTTCCGTGGGCTGCATATTTGCTTACCTGTCTTTGTGCTGGGAGTGCGCCGCACAGCGCGCTCCCAGCACAAAGATCCCGGTGTCACTGAGAGCCCTAGGTCCGGTTCTAACGATCGGGACCCGGGACTCCCGATTCCGGGTCACATGATCGCTGTGACAGCCTCTGATCGGCCTGGCCCCCTTGTGTTTTTTTTTTCCTCTCTATGAATAGAGGAAAGAGATACATTGTATCTCTCTAAGTCCTGGCATAGAGGGGTAAAAAAAAAAAAATTAAAATAATAAAGAAAAAGAAAAAAATACATAGACCAAGGTTTGATCTAGTTCAGTGCCAGGGTAAGTGTTTGGGTCAAGGTCAAAAGGTCAGTGTCAAAGGTCAGGATTGGTATCGGTGTCAGTTAGTGTCAGTGTGTTTTAGGTAAAATTAAAAAAAAACAGCAGAATGCACGCTTTTGTTTCTGGGCTAACTACGGGTACAAACAACAAATAACATACACATATGTGGTATTGCTGCAATCGTCAAGAGCTGGAAAATCTATTTTGGGTTGTTCTTTGGTGGTAGGTTATGGTAGTAACAAAAAGCACACAGCTAAATAAAAAAAAAAAAAAAAGATTTTATTATTTTTTTTTTACTATTTTGGGCCAGTTTTCCTTTGATAATACAAAAAAAACACAGGAGATATCCATTACCATTTACCACCAAATGAAAGCCCAATTTGTCCTGAAAAAAACAAGGTATAATCCACCTGGATGTACAAAGTAGTTGTGATGATATGTACGGTGTTACTAACACATGTCAACATTGCAAAATTTTGCTTGGGCATTAAGATTTGTTTTACCCTTAGGCGTGAAGGGGTTAAAGCAAGTTACAAGGTGGAAAGCTGAAGCAGGGAGCTTCAGCTTTCCACCGCCCCCAAATCTACACAGGCTCCAGGATTTACATGACTGTGTCAGTGTTTTAGTGTGTCAATCCAGGAAGTAGATCCTGGATAAAGCCTGAACAAAAATGTCTCTGTCTTTCTGGAGAGAAAAGAGAATGAAGGCTTTGTTAGTATTGTTAGAGGGGGTGTACTGGGATCTCTGTGAGCGGTAATGAATATATCTATGTGATATACCTGCATATTATTTTAGCATGGATGTAGTTTACATGAAGAAGGTCCACTTTAAGCTAGGTCCACTTTAAGCTTGTCATCAACAAAGATTTTCAGTTAAAGTACAGTCACGTCAACAAATGCATGAGATAAAAAATGGTGTCAATCATTTAAAGTGTATATAAATAGAGGATTGAAAATGTAATATATTGCAGCTCACTAGAGCTCAGATGTGGTGGCTGCATTGGTTTTCTTTTTTCATGCTTTTTTTTAATCCTTTTACTCTTTCTGGTCCTAGATTGACCACACTCATTCACTGTAACTTTGCAGGAGCACTGTTGTCACACTAGGTTGGTCTCCTAATCTCAGTAACATAGGGGGAGGTGTTTTGTAGTTCACGGAAAAGAACTGGTGAGAGCTGATAACATTGTTTGTACCTTTCTGTACACTGAACTGAAATCCCAGACGTTGGAAATCTGGTATGATCAACTGGCATTTTTCTGTACTTGCAGATGTTCTTCATCTATAAGAAGAAATCTAATGCAGCCAGCACATCTAAGCACTTGTAATCTGAAATATATTACATTTGATTCAGATACACTTTTTAAGTACATGTTTTTAAATGTATTTTTAAAAAATGCTGAGTGTGTAGTTAACCTCCTCCAATAGTTCAAGACAGCGTACAATGCCTCATTTGGTTTTTACCTACAGTGGGGCAAAAAAGTATTTAGTCAGCCACCAATTGTGCAAGTTCTCCCACTTAAAAAGATGAGAGAGGCCTGTAATTGGCATCATAGGTAGACCTCAACTATGAGAGACAAAATGAGAAAACAAATCCAGACAATCAAATTGGCTGATTTGGAAAGAATTTATTTGCAAATTATGGTGGAAAATAAGTATTTGGTCACCTACAAACAAGCAAGATTTCTGGCTCTCACAGACCTGTACCTTCTTCTTTAAGAGGCTCCTCTGTCCTGCACTCATTACCTGTATCAATGGCACCTGTTTGAACTTGTTGTTATCAGTATAAAAGACACCTAGACACCTAAGAACTTGCACTAAATACTTTTTTGCCCCACTGTATCTGTTCCTTTTTAGAATGGGGAAATAGCTTTTGGGAAAAGTTCTGTATTAATGAATACACTTTTTTTCTTTCCCCCCCCCTCCCCCCCCCCTAAAAAAAACCAACGTGTGGGGGTGTGTGTGTGTGTTTTTTTTTTTTCTTCTTAAGATGGATATATAAAAGGGTTGGTTTTTTTTTTTTTTTACCATATTTGCATTTTCATATTTTAATGACATTTTTTTTATCAACCCAATTTACATTTTTTAGTGTCCTACTCACATTTTTTTATGTACTTTTTAGAATGGGGTCTCATCAGGTTTCTCCTATTGTGCAGAATTTACGGCTATCGGCTCCTAGTCAGAATAGGAGAGGGTCGTTTTCTGATCAAAATGGGTGGCGAAATTATATCTAAACAGAGTGATGATCCTTCCTTCCTCCCTCTCCCAAAAATGATCTGTAAGCCTGGACATGTAAACTGCCCATATTCAAGCTGGTTGTGCTATCTCAGAAGGAAACCTCAGACCCATAGGGATGTTCACATATAAACAAGTAGAGAGGGTTCTCAATCACAAATTGGCAGCTTATCCATTTTGGATGTAAACTGGCTACCCATTATCTTGCTTACATTGTTGAAGGAATTCCCATTCCATAGGTGATCAGTAAAATCCAGATTGAACAGCTGGGTGGGTAACCTGGCCCTACAATTACTTGTAGGTGGGTGATGTTGGTTTGGTCTGCTGGGATGTGACTAACTTTTGTTACAAACATAAAGTTGCTGAACTGGTTAAGTATACTTACCAACCTGTTTGTTATAATTTTATCCTTTCATTTTCAACCATTTTTAGGGTTTTATTACAGATCATTTAGAACATTGATTAATAGTTAAAATTCTTGGTTTCTGAATTTCAGAGGAGTCCGAAGACTGGATCCATGAATTGCAACAAGTGGTTCAAGAATATGAAGTAGTTTCTGGCTCTGACAAAATGAAGGATGAGAACTGGGACAAAGAGATAGAGGAACTCCTCCAGGAGGATTAATTGCACTCACTCTGAGTACAGCCTGAACTAAAAGAAAAAATCTCTTCTCTTGTTTAAAATCCTACAGTCATTCCCGCACAAAGGCAGAATGGCCTTTACTTGCTCAAGTGACCTTGTCAACATCTGTGTGGTTTTTTTCCTGATCATCACCAAATGTAGAAACTCAAGGAATATGGTTGATGAACTTGCTGTCACTTGGAAATACATGGACCTAGGAGATGATCTCTCTGTTATGGTTTTATATTGTAACAATTTTTTTTTTCATATGGAATTATTTCATGATGTAACAAACTAAAGTGATTTAAAACTGTATGGTATATGGGTTTATAAGTTATGCAATCTGTTCGTGGTTTTTTTTTTTCCTTGATGTAATATATTCAAGATTAGGTCTGTAGAAAAGTAAATGGCACATGAATTCTAAATGTTCAAGCTTTTACACCCCTGGCGCCAAACAATTGTATACTTCTTTATGGTAATGAATTGTCTTATGCATTTTCTTTCTAATTTAACACCATTACAGAGTATAATTATTTGGCCTTATACAATTATTGGTTAAGACCGACAGTAAAAGTTTTACATGATTTTAATTTTAGTAGCGTCTTTTTTTTTTTTTTTTTTTTTTTTCCCCCCTCAGTATTCCTTTTAACCACTTGACCTAAACAGTAATGGTAGCATATGTTGGCTTGTCTATGTGAAGACTCTAAAATATGAGCGTATGGTAACAATATTTACATTGAAATGGTCAACATTTACTATGTCAAATACAAGGACAGCCATTCACATCTTGGGTTTCTCTATGCTTGTAGCAAATGTCCAGACCAGCACCAAACATGTTCTTGTCTCTCTAGCATCAGTTGTACACTAACTGTCCACCTATCTCTTTATTCTCAGGGGGTAACTACAGAGTAAAGACTAAATTTAGTCTTCTGCTGCTCCTACACTGTCCAGTCACAGACTGGAATCAGAGAGGTAACTTTGCTTTGATGTTTAACTACGGTGACTAAAGTCAGACCACTGACCTTTCTGTTCTATCTGACAGGGCTATGTAGATCTCAGGACTGTTTCAATAGAATGACAAAGCTTTTTTGTTTTTTTCAGAAAATCAGCTCCCATATAAGTGTTTAAATATTTTCCTGGAGTTATACATCAAATCACTACAGAAAACAACATATTTATTATCTGTTTCTATACTAATCTAGAGTAATTTTTCTTTTTTTGGTATTGTATTGCCATAATGCCATTTTTCACCTGTAAAATCTCATTCTGTTTAAAAGGAGAAAAAAAAACTTGTTACTAGTCCCAGTGAAGTCCCATGAGGCATGATTATCACCTGATCATTGTAAGGCTTTACCTGTTCCAGAACTGGGCTTTGTATAGCTACCCTTTATTCTATTCGTATGTTTTGGTACACTTACCCATGTTTCCAGCTTAGTAATCTAGTACTGCAACTGCTTCCCTTATTACAGGTAAGGTCAGAGACCCATAAAGATAATTGTAAACAAAATCTCTATGTTGCCTCCATGTATTGGAGTATCTAGTATGCAGTTATCAGTTTTAATGATAATCTCGAGCCAAGGCATTAAGTAATAAGTTATCCATGAATAAGGGCATTGTCAGAAATGTAGACCACAGGGAAGTTTATTTCCTAAAGCTGGAGAGTGCAAAATCAGGCTCACGTCTACATAGAAACCAATCAGTTTCTATCTTCAATGTAAAGTAGGGTGCAGCGCTAAAACTCTAAATAACCACATTTGTGAAGGTTCCATATCTCCAGCATATAAATAAAACACATAAATAAAGTGACTTGTGATAAAGTGCAAAATGTTATTCAAAATTAGGGTGACTCAGCGGTATCATAAAACCTGTCGCTGTATAGTGACCAATAGTGCTTTATGGTGCTAAAAATTGTCCAAGTATAGGTGCATGGAAGATCTGATAATCTTCAGTTATTGGTGTTCTATCCAGTATAATGGTGATGTGACCAATAGTATAAAGACTGCGCACTCACCAGATGCGCATTTAGAGACAATGCTCTCAGTAGATGAACTGGAGGCCCCTTTAATAATGAATATCATTAAAGAGCAGGAGCATGTATTCCCCCTCACTGCTCACTCCGCTGTCAATATTGGCTCTATCACTCTTCTCCTGTAGCTCTGTGGGTTAGAAGCTCACAAGAGCCCAGAAAAGAGGAGGCCAATAGCGTGATACTGTTGGGTAAGGTGTACGTTTATTCCAACATGTATAGCAAGCATATAGGGAACAGAACAAAAACTACTGACCATATGCAGAAATCCAAGATGGCTACCAGGACCTACATGGTGCCGGTGGCGTGATGTCATGATGCTGTAGCTCCTACCTCGTGTGTGTGTAGAAAGGAAAATAAAAGGCTAATTACAGTGTATGCAAAAGAAATAAATAAATAATTGCACCAGTGGTGATTAACCCCTTTGTGCCGAAGTCATACAAATATCCGGCCTCACAGAACTGAGCTTTTTTCCGTGGGCCGCATATTTGCGCACCTGTCTTTCTGCTGGGAGCGCGCCGCACAGCGTGCTCCCAGCACAGAGACCGGGGTGTCACTGAGAGCCCCGGGTCCCATTCTAACAATCGTCACATGGCCTATCAGAGGCTATCACAGTGATCAGTCACTGTATAGTCCGCTCTCCTCCCTTTTTTTTTTTTTTGTTCTGTATGAATGGAGGAGAGAGATGCATTGTGTCTCTATAACTCCTTGCATAGAGAGGAAAAAAAATGTTGTTAAAAAGATAAAGAAATATTACAAAAAATACCTAGATGAAGGTTTGCTCTAGTTTAGTGCCAGGGTTAGTGTTTGGGTTAGGGTCAAAGGTCAGGATTTTTTCTTTCTAATTGGTGTCAGTGTGTATTTAAGTAAAAAAACAAAATGTGCACTATTGTTTCTGGGCAGTACTACGGGTACAAACAAATAACATACACATACATGGTATTGCTGGTATTTTATTTTGGGGGTTCTTTAGTGGTAGGTTATGGTAGTAACAAACACACAGCTAAATTAAAAAAAACATATATTTTATTTTATTTTTTTTACAATTTTGGGCCAGTTTTCCTTTGATAATAAAAAAAAAAATCAGGAGATATCCATTACCATTTACCACCAAATGAAAGCCCAATTTGTCCTGGAAAAAAAACAAGGTATAATCCACCTGGATGTACAAAGTAGTTGTGATGATATGTATGGTTTTACTAACACATGTCAACATTGCAAAATTGTGCTTAGACATTAAGATTTGTTTTATCCTTAGGCGTGAAGGGGTTAAAAAACAAAATGGCATTTATTATTGGTGTTGGAGCCTGCAAGGCATTACAACCAGCAACGGATTGCCAGTTCAATTCTCAGGTGCCTGCAGACTATTTCTCCATACTAAGGTATGGACTTTTAATAATAGGGCTGAAGAAAGCATTCATGAAGTACAAATGTAGTGATGTTACTGCGCTTGTTCTTTATTGAGATCTATGAATCTACTGTGGTGGCATATGGGACTCAGTTGTTTCATTCACAGATTTTGTGAATGATGTGGAATTTACAAAGAATTTACAAAGTTGTACAAGCTTGCACCACACTTCTAAACATAAAGAAATGGAGAAAATGCTGCTCCTAATGAACAAAATAGATGCAAGCCCCATTTAGGCTGGCCATACACTATACAATTTTCTTTAGAAAATTGTTTTGGATTTACCAAACACCGTATAATATGAGGTCAAACCTAAACAACACTTTCAATTGTATCCAATTAGGTGGGCCTTTGCACTACACAGTTGAAGGTAAATCTAAAGAAAATTGTATAGCCAGCCTTAGGAGCACTCCGTTCTCTGTTCTGCCATGTCTGACAGGCCGCACAGAGAATGTGAGAGCTGAAGTTGCATGTCTGTCCCGCACCTCTCAGCAGGAAGGAGGACAGTTGTTAACCCTTCATGCTCTGCTCGTGTAGCGTAATGACTGCACATGCATACATCGAGGGATGTGAGTGGTCTACTGCCAGGTGACGGGAATCTGCTGCAGTTTTCTAGAAAACAAATTGCTGTATTCCCTTTTGTTAATTAGGGGCAGACAGGCATTGATGAGTTCTATTCCATTTTTCACATCACTTTCTCAAATATTTTGAAACAACTGTACATTTTCCTTTACATTATTGCCTTATTAAATGGCGTTTAATCAACTGGGGTGTGGCTTAGTTGCCTTGTTATATAGAAAGATTTATCTTTGGTGATAGATAGATAGATAGATAGATATATATATATAGATATAGATATAGGAGAGATATAGATATAAAATGTATTTATTTTTTCAATAAATACATCGAAGCAGATAAAAATTGTATTTATTTTTTTCAAGAAAGCAGAAAAATGGGGTGGGGTATACATAAATAAGCAAGCGCTGAATTGAAATCCAAAATGTGTTTAATGTTTATATACACCATTTACATGGAGGCTGATTAAAATAATAATAATAAAAACAAAAACACAACTTTACTCTCCAGCGGTGTCTGTTATCTACCATATTTATAAATGGAACCAGAATGTACAGTTATGAGATGCTCTCTCAAGCTTGTAATAACAAGTCTATAACAATTATTTCCCACAGTTTTGTTAGTCCATGTGTCACCATCACGACCTTTACATCTTGTACCCTTATGTAATACAACATTGATTTAGATGTCTGGAAATCTGTGTTCCTTTGGGATACCGTACATGAGCATCAGAGTCTGGAGCAGAGTGTTTTCAGGGATAAAAGTGATGCATGGTAAATACAGCAAAAGTAAACACTGCTTAATATGATCCAGTTCAAATTAAAAAAAAAAAAAAAAACCCAAAAAACAAACATGTTATACTTACCTGCTCTGTGTAATGGTTGTGCACAGAGTAGCCCTGATCCTCGTTTTTTCAGGTTCTCTGCTGGCACTCCTGGCTCTCAGCCCCCCTGCTGAGAGCCCTAGAGAAAGTTGCTTGCTTTGGGGGAAATCATGCAGCCTCATTTCCATGGCTCAGCTCCCGCCATAGACTGCACGAAGATAAAAAGCCTTCAACCTTTAGAACCACTTTAAAGCATTGAACACACACCCAAATACACCCAACCAAGCCATCTACTGTACAAGGTTTGGCCACTTTCTGAAGAACCTGGATGAAATTTGCTCAGTGGGTGGCCCTGTCGTCCACCTCTTGGCTGACATCCCTTGATTTAAAAAAATGCCACACAGAAAATTATCACCCAAAAAGTGTCTGCACCCAATAAGCTTTTTTTAAACCATTAGGGCTGGCTGTCAAAATGTAATAGTTACAGCAGCAGTTTGTTCATCCATGCTGTATAAGGTGAACGGAGGAATTCATTACTATCCATGTATGGCCAGCTTAAATATTTGGCTTTGGGGCATAGAAGGGCCAAAGAAAGCAGTTGCAGTCAAGTAAGTAAATGTACTTTTTTTTTACTTACTAGCAGCTCATTTTTTTAGTGACTCACTTTAAACATGCATTTTCCCTTAAAAAGTAATTCTACACAGAAACCCTGAGCTCTCCCAACTTTCAGATGACCAGAGACTGCGGACATAGTACAGGAGATGACCAGAGACTGCGGACATAGTACAGGAGATGAGCAGAGACTGCAGACAGTACAGGAGATGACCAGAGACTGCAGACAGTACAGGGGATGACCAGAGATGGACAGTACAGGAGATGACAGAGACTGCAGACAGTACAGGGGATGGCCAGAGATGCGAACACAGTGCAGGAGATGACCAGAGACAGCGGACACAGTACAGGGGATGACCAGAGCCTGCGGACAGTACAGGGATGGCCAGAGACTGCGGACATAGTACAGGAGCTGACCAGACTGCGGACTGCGGACACAGTACTGCGGGGATGACCAGAGACTACGGACACAGTACAGGAGATGACCAGAGACTGTGGAAATACTACAGGAAATGACCAGAGACTGCGGACACAGTACAGGAGATGACCAGAGACTGCGGACATAGTACAGGAGATGACCAGAGACTGCGGACAGTACAGGGGATGACCAGAGACTGCGGACATAGTACAGGAGATGAGCAGAGACTGCAGACAGTACAGGAGATGACCAGAGACTGCAGACAGTACAGGGGATGGCCAGAGACTGCGAACACAGTGCAGGAGATGACCAGAGCCTGCGGACACAGTGCAGGAGATGGCCAGAGACTGCGGACACAGTACAGGAGATGACCAGAGACTGCGGACACAGTACAGGAGATGACCAGAGACTGCGGACACAGTACAGGGCTGACCAGAGACTGCGGGCATAGTACAGGAGATGACCAGAGACTGCAGACAGTACAGGGGATGACCAGAGACTGCAGACAGTACAGGGGATGACCAGAGACTGCAGACAGTACAGGGGATGACCAGAGACTGCAGACAGTACAGGGGATGACCAGAGACTGCAGACAGTACAGGGGATGACCAGAGACTGTAGACAGTACAGGGGATGACCAGAGACTGTGCACCTTTAGGGAGAGGCGGGTACCTGAATTTGACAGGTACCTGCTCCCACTTTCGCGGAGTTGTCCTTCCTTTAGTGTTGTGCCCACTGCGCATGCGCGGGAAGCGCTGCACTTTGTGAATGGCCCAGCATATTCTGGGACCTGTTGTGTCGCAGAAAAAGCCGGACCATTCACAAAGCGCAGCGCTTCTCGCGCATGCGCAGTGGGCACCAGGCTGTCACAGATGCCGACGCGGGAAGACTGCACAGCGCTGGACCGAGGAACAGGTAAGGTCCTGCAGCAGAGAACAGCTGAGCAGCCGGCCCAGTATTCTGACACGGCGGGGGAAATACCGGACCGGCCGCTTTATATTCACTCCATAAGACGCACTGACATTTCCCCCCCTTTTTTGGGGGAAAAAAGTGCGTCTTATTGAGCGAAAAATACGGTAAGTAAAACCTGCATGTGACCTAACGCTTTAGTCTCGATTTTCAGAAACACGAGATGTAAAATGGAAACCTTGTTCTTTTTCTGAGCAAGAGAGTTTCCTTTTTATCTCATCCTAAAGATTTTACATAATAAAAAACACATAGAACCCTAAAAAAGTATACTTACGGATTCTTTTACTTTTATTTAAATCTGATTTATAAATATAAATTACCATCTTCTTTAAATATGTTGTTGGTTAAATATGTTATTACTTTCAGGTTACCATACATGTTGCATCATAAGGTGCTGTGTGGTAGTAATACATCTGCACTACAAGTACACTAAACATTGCACTCTGTTTATTCAAGAAGACAATTCAAAGAACTATGCTGATGTGCAAAAGGGTGATAGCCATTGAAACCAATCTAACCTTAAGATGAATGCTCTAAAATCAGTGAAATATTAGTCTGATTGGATACTATGGGGTACTTAAAGAAGTATTAAACCCAAAACCAAAAATTTAATATACAGTATTGTAGTTCACCAATCATTAGATGTGGTAGCTGCATTAGTTTTCTTTTTTAAGCAAGTTTTCACCTGGTGATCTGGCCAGTAACACACCTGCTGTATTAGAGTGCCTCCACTCTAGATGAAGGAGCTCAGAGGGCACCTTTGGACAGCAGCATTGTCAGTCTGTGGGTAGGGGAGTGTTAGTGTATTTAAATCTGCCAGTACATCTAACAAATTGAAGCCAAACTCCAGCTAATACCTTATAAGCAGTTAAAGTTTTCTTCCTTTTGGGATAAAGGTTTAACAAATAAAAGCTGATCATTGTTAGCACCCCTGTCAGTGCTTAATGGTTTGTCTCATCGCTGTAGCTGTGACATCTGCAAGACAGCTTGTTCTTTTTGTACAAAAGACTTATTGGCTGGATCACCAAATGAAAATAGAAGAAAGAAAGCCTAAAATATAAAATTAATGCAGCCATCATATCTGAGAAATGGTGAGCTGCAATATAATAAATGTTTGCTTTTGGGTTTAATCACTTCCCAAGCACTCTATAGCAGAAATACTGCTACAGGGTGGCACGAGTGCGCAAAATCATGTGTATATATACGTGATCTTGCATTTCTGGGTAGGGGGCTGTGTGAGGTGCAGCACAGCCATGCAAAGCAGTGTGCTTACAGTGAAGCACACTGACTCAGCTTATAGTAAAACAGCACACAGTTAACCCTTTTGATCGCCCCTCATGCTAACCCGTTCCTGCCCAGTGCCATTAGTAGAGTGTCAGTGCCTTTTTTTGCACTGATCACTGTATTGGTGTCACTGGAAATGTCAGTGACACCAAGTCAGTTCCCCCCCAGTGTCAGAATGCCCGCCGCAGTCCCGCTATAAGTCGCTGATAACCACCATTATTAGTAAAAAAAAAAAAAAATCCCAGTATATATACCTCCATTTGAAAACGCTATAAATTTCACGTAAACCAATTAATTTACACATATTGGGATTTTTTTCAGCAAAGACATGCAGCAGAGTATATTTTAGCCTAAATTTATGACGAAATTTGATTTTTTAAAATTTTTTTTGGATATGTTTAAAAGCAAAAAGTCAAGAATATTGTTTTTTTCTCAAAATTGTTGGTCTTTCTTTGTTTAAAGCGCAAAAAATAAATGCATAGGTGATCAAATACCACCGAAAGAAAGCTCAATTCATGAGAAAAAAAAAAGAAGTAAATTTCATTTGGATGCAACGTTGCATGACCGCGCAATTGTCAGTTAAAGTAACGCAGCACCATAACACAAAAAATGGCCTGGTCAGGAAGGGGGGTAAATCCTCTGGAGGGCAAATGGTTAATACTGCCTTGAGTCCATGTAAATATCACAGCTGGCAAATTTTACTTCTGAGCACACTGAGATGTCTACAATAATATTGTGACTGGTGACGACTTCTGTGCAGTGACTACATTTTAACAGCTCACTATCAAATTTGAAAACGCTAATAGTGATATATACTTTCAACGTTTGGCTTCTAATCCTCCCTGCATTCCACTGATTCTGTTCTGAGCCTGCCATAGTGTAGAATTACAACACAACCATGAATGAGGAGGAAGCAGAAGGTGATAGTTACCCCACTCTGGCTGTTTCCAACTCAACCAGGCAATGATCATGTCTATGGGGCAGGTAATTGCCCACCAGCCAACAGCTGGATCATTGATCAAAACAGGTTAGAAAACCTTTCCCCCTAAAGACACACAACACCCTCAGCTTCTGCTGTCTTGCTCCACTTCTGATCCTGCAAGTTTCTGAAGTGCTCTGTAGTGCTTGGAAGAATTGTAGTCATAGGGGAATCTGGGCAAGTCTGCATGGGTAACTGCCACAGGACTGAGCCTAATGTCATTATACCTGGAGTAGTCTGAGTGATGCATCCTGGGATTATCTGAATGAAAATGTGCTGCATCTGCTTGTGTGCTGTTGGGACAGATTGATTCAAACATAATCACTGTTCTTGTGTAGCTTACTTATCAGACACTATCAAACTGGCAATGCCAATAGTCATCCTAGATCTGAATAGAGATAGCCCAGAGCAGAAAGAGTCAATTGTTCCCTTTCTCTTGGTTACACCTTTCGACTCTCTGGAAACCAGCCATGAAAGAGTGCCATCACCTCTGCCATCACCACTACAGTTTGTCCTTACATTGTAGAGATGCTATTTACAATTCCAACAAGTATTTCTTCTCTTGATCAGCTATACTTGGAGAGTCAGATAAGAAAGAATCATGGGCAGCCTCAAGATCTTGCAGTATCTGGAAAAGCAGGGTAACACTGTCTGTCTTTGCAGGATCTAAAAGAAGAACACAATTTGTAAGAATTATTATGTGGTCATATTTTTTGCTGGATGTTTGAAAAGTGACAAGAATTCTGTAGTTCCACATGTATTGTATAGCCATTATTTGAAATGTAGCCATACTCCTCTGTGGAATGAATACATTATATGCCTACATTCCTTGTCAACCCAGTGTTATCACAGCGACATCCATGGGGTCACACTGTACAGCACAAATTACATATTACTCAGTTTGATGCTGAAATAGAACACACAGCGCACTGCAGTTCTTATAAAGGGCTATATTCACAAGTTACATTTTTTGGGGATGCTGTTAACTTTACTAGTAAATATTACTAAAGTATAACTGAACTTGCGCGTAACAGCAACCCATGTGCCCTCCTTGCCCTCTGTATCAAAATGGTATACTTAAAGTATAATTAAACCCTCCTATTCTTTAGAGTATTTAGTGTTTGCTGTTCTGAAGTTGCCATTGTGCTGCAAAGTGTGCTGCTCACCTGCAATTTGATGGCTTGATAGTTTGTGAGTTTTGTTTTTTTTTATACTCAATCTTTATTAACATTTTCAGGCAGTGCAAAAAAAAGGAAATGAACCCAGAATAGGATATGTTCAAAACACAGCATTGTGTAAAGATAATAAATGCCTAAAGTATGACAGTCAAGGTTCAGATGCAGGTCAATTCTCAAAGAGTAAGCCAGACCACTCATACACAGAGGCATGCAGGTCTAATCAGGCATCCATGGGTCCAAGAAAGGGGTAGGCAACCTGCGGCTCTCCAGCTGTTGCAGGACTACAAGTTCCATCATGCCTCTGCAAGTCATAGCTGTAACTGTCAGTTTTGTAATGTTGCAATGCCTCATGGGAAATGTAGTTCCACAACAGCTAGAGGGCCGCAGGTTGCCTACCCCTGGTCCAGGAGAATCATCAAGATTGCAGCATTGCCTGGAATAGTAGTAGCACACTAGGACAAACCACATAAAGCATGTACACTGTCAAAGAAATCACTATACAATATATATATATATATATATATATATATATATATATATATATATATATATATACAGTTGTGTTCAAAATAATAGCAGTGTGTTGAAAAAAGTGAATAAAGCTCACAATCCTTCTAATAGCTTTTATTTCCATACACACAAATGCATTGGGAACACTACACATTCTATTCCAAATCAAAACACGAAGAAAAATATATCAAATTTGTGCTGTTCCTCTAAAACAAATTGAAGAAAAGTGAATATTAGGCTGTTAAAAAAAATAGCAGTGTTTGTATTCTTCTTTACAAACTCAAACATTCACTATATAAACTGAAAAATGTTTGAAGATTTTGCTTTCCTTTGAATCACTTAATTAATATTTAGTTGTATAAGCACTGTTTCTGAGAACTGCTGTACATCTGTGTTGCATGGAGTCAACCAACTTCTGGCACCTGTGAACAGGTATTCCAGCCCAGGATGATTGGACAACATTCCACAGTTCTTCTCTATTTCTTGGTTTTGCCTCAGAAACTACATTTTTGATGTCACCCCACAAGTTTTCTATTGGATTTAGATCCGGGGATTGGGCTGGCCACTCCATAACATCAATCTTGTTGGTCTGGAACCAAGATGTTGCACGTTTACTGGTGTGTTTGGGGTCGTTATCTTGTTGGAACACCCATTTCAAGGGCATTTCCTCTTCAGCATAAGGCAGCATGACCTCTTCAAGTATTCTGATGTATTCAAACTGATCCATGATCCCTGGTATGCGATAAATAGGCCCAACACCGTAGTATGAGAAACATCCCCATATCATAAACAATGCTGCGCTACATTCAAACTAATTTATGTGAATGTGGAATCCAACATCTCAAATCAAAATTGTGACAATAATAATGACAATATAAATCTATACGTGCTTACTGATAATCAAAAATATCAAATAAATCACCCAAAAAGATGAAAAACACAAAACTGTATCTATACGTATGTGCATAAAAGAATACACATACATATAATTAAATCACACGTGCATATTGTGAAGTGAAAAAATAACCATAATAATGATACAGGGCTGATGAAGTCACGTGACATTGTGACGTAACGCGTCGGCGTAGCGCGGTGACGTATTTCCGGCGTGGCGGCCATCTTGGTACACCTGTGTATCCAGCTGTACACCCAACAGATATATCCTCATCTGAAAGCATGAGGTTCTAATGTGGACTGGCTGCTACGTAAGTTCGTTTTTATAAGAGATTATATGTTCCTATGGTATAATAAATATACTACACTATGGGAGGATTCCTTTGTCTCATTCTGAGAGATTGATATTTCAACTTTTCCTGGAGAAGAGCCTGAGTGGGAATATTAAATCTTGAAAAGCGGTTTTGGAGTGCTTTGGTGCCTGGAGGATCTGTGAGAGGGATCCATTACTGCTCTTTGATCCGCAAGGGTCGAACGGATGAGGTGAGAGGCTAATCCAGAAGGTGGTTGGATTCATAAGATCTATATACACCCAGATACCTGCACGATTTGTTTCACCTGTGGTCACTTACAGTATTATTTGGAAACACCGTTTACTGTTTTGTTCACCTTCAACATTCTATTTTTGGACTTTGAGTTTTGCGTGTATCATTATTATGGTTATTTTTTCACTTCACAATATGCACGTGTGATTTAATTATATGTATGTGTATTCTTTTATGCACATACGTATAGATACAGTTTTGTGTTTTTCATCTTTTTGGGTGATTTATTTGATATTTTTGATTATCAGTAAGCACGTATAGATTTATATTGTCATTATTATTGTCACAATTTTGATTTGAGATGTTGGATTCCACATTCACATAAATTAGTTTGAATGTAGCGCAGCATTGTTTATGGTTTATATTCACTTGATCACTGGTATATGATTTAATGCTAGCAGCTTCTTTGGGGTTTATACATTTATTTATTTATTTAGGTTTAATTATTTTAAAACACACATTTGGAGCGCAGGAGGGTCACACCACTATCCCCATATCATGATGCTTGCGCAACCATGCTTCACTGTCTCCACAGTGTACTGTGGCTTGAATTCAGTGTTTGGGGGTCGTCTGACAAACTGTCTCCGGCCACTAGACCCAAAAAGAACAATCTTACTTTCATCAGTCCACAAAATGTTGCGCCATTTCTCTTTAGGCCAGCCAATGTGCTCTTTGGCAAATTGTAACCTCTTCAGCATGTCTTTTTTTCAACAGTGGGACTTTGCGGGGGCTTCTTGCAGATAGCTTGGCTTCACATAGGCGTCTTCTAATTGTAACAGTACTCACAGGTAACTTTACACCTTCTTTGATCTTCCTGGCGCTGATTGTTGGCTGAGTCCTTGCCATTTTGGCTATTCTTCTATCCATTCGAATGGTAGTTTTTCGCTTTCTTCCACGTCTTTCAAGTTTTGTCATTTTAAAGCATTTGCGATCATTTTAGCTGAGCAGCCTATCATTTTCTGCACTTCTTTATATGTTTTCCCCTCTACAATCAACTTTTTAATCAAGGTACGCTGTTCTTCTGAACAATGTCTGGAACGACTCATTTTCCTCAGAATTTCAGAGAGAAATGCACTGTAACCAGCATGTACAACATTTGCTGCTTTCCTTCCTTAAATAAGGGCAATAATTGGCACCTGTTTTTGAAAGAATGAATGACCTCACTAATAGAACTCCACACTGCTATTATCTTGAACATGCCCCTTTCAATTAGTGATTCAATTACACAGAATCAGCAGCATGCATGTCATGACTGTTGGGTCTGTTGGATTTCTATTACTCTACTACACCTGCTAGTAAATTATTTGCCATGTAGAAATATCATTTCTACAAAAAACAGTGATTGATCAGGTTAGTGATGTCTGACTGCTATTATTTTGAACACAACTGTATATATATATATATATATATATATATATGTATAACAACCCAGAAGTAAAAGAAAACAAAGGGAGGGGGAGTGAGGTAGATGAAAAAATTGCCCAATGAACAGTACCCGGGTGGACAAAGAAAAAAACAGTGGTAAGCAATGATGCCCATCTGTTTGAAAGGGGGCAATAGAACTGCTATATAGTATACAGAGAAATAATCATCTGGTATCTCGGAAGAGTAGTACACCCATCCCATCCATACTCTTCTTGATTTTTAACCATATGCACCCATTGTTCACCTTCCATAATTACAAATTCTTCCCTCTTTCAGTCAGAAAGTGTAGGATAAGTCGTTTTTTTCCAAAATCTAGAAATTAAAGTGGTAGGAAACTATTTTTTTATACTTTTACCTACAGCTTTATTAGCTTACCTGTAGGTAAAATGAATACATTATATTGCCAAAAGTATTGGGACGCCTGCCTTTACACGCACATGAACTTCAACGGTATCCCAGTCTTAGTCCGTTGGGTTCAGTATTGAGTTGGCCCACCCTTTGCAGCTATAACAGCTTCAACTCTTCTGGGAAGGCTGTCCACAAGGTTTAGGAGTGTCTATGGGAATGTTTGACCATTCTTCCAGATGCGCATTTGTGAGATCAGGCACTGATGTCAGACGAGAAGGCCTGGCTCACAGTCTCCTCTCTAATTCATCTCAAAAGTGATCTGTTGGGTTGAGGTCAGGACTCTGTGCAGGCCAGACAAGTGCCTCCACCCCAAACTTGCTTATTCATGTCTGTATGGACTTTGCTTTGTGCTCTGATGAGCAGTCATGTTGGAACAGGAAGGAGCCATCCCCAAACTGTTGGAAGCATGAAATTGTCCAAAATGTCTTGGTATGCTTAAGAATTCCCTTCAATGGAACTAAAGGGCCAAGCTCAACCCCTGAATAACAACCCCACACCATAGTCCCCCTCCACCAAACTTTACACTTGGCACAATGCAGTCAGGCAAGTACTATTCTCCTGACACTTTTCTCCTACATGTAAAAATCATCATTTTTTTTTGCTAGAAAATTACTTAGAACCCTGAAACATACAGTTAGTTCCCTAAATATGAATGCGAACATGTTTTCACATGTCATACACTCAGTTTTTTTTTTCGTTCAACCCAGCGGGTTGGTATGGTGATCTCCCCCACTATGCATTTGTGCTCTGACAGGTTGATTCACTGATCAGCATTGTCTGCAAGTGCTGATCTTTGTTGGTCTTACGAACAAGTTGGACTTAGGAACGAGCTCTCGGAACGGAACTCACTTGTAAGTAGAGGACGTACTGTATATGTTTTTTAAGCAGAGGCCCTAGAGAATAAATTGGTGAGCATTGCATTTTTTTTTGTCACAAGGTATTTGCACAGCAACGCAAATATTGGGAATAAAATGCACTTTGATTCATTTTTGGTGCACACAAACACAATAAAATACCTATTTGTTTTGTAAAATACAAATGATGATGTTACACCGAATAAATAGTAAAAAGTAGATACCTAACATGTCACACTTTAAAATTGCATTCACCTGTGGAACAACGGCAAACTACGGTACCTAAAAATCTCTAAAGGCGACGCTTTAATGCCTTTATAGATTACTAGTTTAGAGTTACACAGGAGTTCTGGGGCTAGATTTTTTGCTCTCGTTCTGATGATACCTCACATGTGGTGTGATCACTGTTTGCATATGCAAACATGTGTGTTCGCCTTTGTGCAGAACCATGGGAGGATGGGGGCACTTTCAATTTTTTTTATTATTATTATTTACTTTGTTTAATTTTTTACACTGTCTCTTTAAAAATTTTTTATTGCTGTCACAAGAAATGTAAACATCCCTTGTGGCAACAATCAGCAGTGACATCTGGGGTCTGATAGACCCCAGATGTTTCCTCTGCCCTTTACAGCATCAGATAAGACCAAGATCAGTTTGATCTGATGCTTGTACAAGCTAGGAATAGCTTGTAAACAAAAGACTGGAACTAGAAGTGACAAAATACTGGCCGCTTCTTAATACCATAGAGGTGACCCGAGACATCTGGTTTCCAAAAACCTCTATGGTAAGCTAACCCAACTGTCGGCTTCAGTGCAAGGCTCCCTAATTGCACAGGAGAGACTGGAGAGGCACCGGAGAGCGGCGGGTAGGGGATGTCGACCCCTCCTGCTGCCTGTAAAAGCAATACAACAGCTACTTATCCACTAGGATGGCTTTTAAATACAACAAAATCGCTGGCTGAAAAAAAAAATACTGGGATAATGCCTGATCATTCCAGTAGAGCCACTTCTACCAGAGGACACAAGGGTACATCCTATGAGAAAGAAGTGGTTAAATAAGAAAGATGTGACCAAACAAACTGAAAGGCAGTAAAGTGCCATAGTCTTATTGTTGCAAAATACTGTAAGTTTTAATTAGTACCTGAAAGACTTACCTGAACTGGAATGAGATTTGCCAGTATAATCATGCTTTGTCAGCTCCACGTATTTTTCCCTGCATATACAAACATATTATTTTATTATTATGTAAAGGATATTCAGTAGAAAGCTATACATTAAAGGAGTATTGCAGCCTTGACCTAACTAGTTTTGAAAATGCTTCCCCCCCCACTCCCCCAACACCTATGTTGACTAAGCTGTGTACAAAAGGTTTTTATACTTAATTATTATCAGCCTGCTCCGATTGAGCTCGACACTGGCTGGGAACGACTGGGCATGATGCCGTCACTCATAGGCTCCTATGACCCAGCCGCTGTGGGTGCACCTTCCACTCCCCTGCAACAGTCGCTGGCTGACACAAGGGAGCCAGATCACATGACCTGACTGGAAAATAGGTAAGTGGCTTTTATGCAGGTTAGTCAGCAGTTGTTGGGGGGGGGGGACATTTTAAGACTAGTTAGGTTTAGCCTAGAATTATACCCTAATTAGTAGGCTTTAATATATCAAAAATGCTGGATTTGTGAAACCCTGGTATTTACTTATTTAAAACAGGGCTAAAGCCTAACTAGACGATGTTTACTTTAACACACTGTGTATTTTAAAGAACTGCCATGTTTTTTTTGTTTTTTTTTATGGGGGGGGTCTGACCCGCCAAATATAACAGTATTATAAGTAAGTCTACTCTACACCATTAAATGTCTAGGCCCAATACTTAATTTTACTTCAAATGCCTTGAATTTTCCTGTCCTTTCCCCTCTCATTCAGCTCAGGCTAAACAAGAAGACTGTCAACCATCTTTATCTGTACATAGGAACTGTATATTACTTCTCATGCATGACTCGAGTTAATAGATCATAATTTGGTTTAAAAGTGTGGTCAAGAGTATACATGTAACAATGTGCCAGCTGGAGACCCCCAATTTGCTTCCCTCCCCCTACCTTCCCCTTTCTAGTTTTGCCCCCTTTCTGTTCTTATCCTTCATCTGTTTTGGTATTCTTTTCTTCTTGTCAACTCTATTTTAGGTCTTAAACAAAAGGTAGATTGATTGACCAACAGAGCCATCCAGAATACTAAGTTGAGTATGGCTACCATAAATTTGTGCCCCGGTCCAACAGGCGTGGTAAGCTGACTGCATGACCCTTCTGTGGGAACCCAAGGAAGCTGAAGTATTGACATGACAAATGTTATGTTGGTGCGATGTTGGGTTGTTTCAATGTACTGTATCTTTAAACAGTAAAATGTACATTCACACTGTGCTCTTGCTCTGTATATCGAAAACCTAATAAACTTTATTCCTTAAAAGAGTGTACATGTAACAGGTACATTCATTTGTTCTGGTAAGCTCACAGGAAGTGGAAGGGATATCCCCAACCTGACTAAGGCCTTATGCACACTGGGCATTTAGACCTGGTGAACAAGATCCTGTCATTATGCTGTAGCAAGGAGGCACAGATGCACCATCCAGCTCACTGCCAGCAGCCTGTAAAACTCTGTGAGAGACTGAAAACTATTAATGGATAGGTCTGGACGGTGATCCTAGTGGTGCTAATGTCTAGGGCAACATACACTCAGGGAAGAATGCCCAGGGATGACTGCCTGTGTGTTCCACCTGCACCAAGCCTAAACATCTTGTGTGCATGAGGCCTAACGGTTTGCTCTGAAGGCCAGCCTCCCTTGAGGCTATCAGCCCTCTTACCTGCTCAGTTTCACCTAGTGTCCTCAGGAGATTGTGTTTTCTTTGGCTCTGCTGCTTTATGTTAAAGCGGAGTTCCAGCTGAAAAAAAAAAAATAAAAGTCAGCAGCTACAAAAACAGTAGCTGCTGACTTTTAAAATACAGCCACTTACCTGTCCCTTGGTCCAGCGGTGTCCTCACCACGGCTGGTTTCACCGGCTGGTTTCACCGGCTGTCTTCTCTCCCTGGCACCAGCATCTTCAGTGTTGGCACTCGGCTATGACATCTTGTGGCTTCACAGCAGGGTGCCCACTGCACATGCGTGAGAAGCGCTGCGCTTTGTGAATGGCCCCGTAGTCTTCTGGAACCTGTCATTTCCACTTCCGATTGCAGTGGGAGCGGGTACCCGTCAAATTCAGGTACACGCTCCTCAAAGGTGCAAATCCTTAAAGGGGAGTGGGCGACAAAGACTTAAAGCGGAACTTCCCCTTTTGGGTGGAGCTCCGCTTTAACTTTGAAGATTTTTCTACTATGAACAGATGTTGTTAGAATCGGGCCAGATACTGAAAATCAAGAAGTCTCTTCAGTTAGCCAACTAGAGCAGACTTTCTTGGTTCATGAAGTATACTGACCTTCTCTCTGTAACAGCCCTGAATTCTTGGAATTTTCTCCAGTCAGTCAGTCAGTCTAGAAGCATAGATAGATCCAGTTCATTAAATAAACTGGTGTTCTTTCCGTGATGGTTCTGCAGTTAGCAGTGACTACCTGTCTCTGCCCTGTATGGAAGGGACTTCACTTTTGGGTCAGATCTAAGGTTTTCTTGTGGAGCAACTGAGCCAGAGCTGTGGCAGCATTCCTGTCCCTGTCTCTGAAGACTCACGGTCTCCACTGAGTGCCTAGCAGGCTTATGTTGTGTTGAGGTTTTTTCCTTTGTTTGGTACTAGGGAGCCATTTGTGGTATTTTCTACAGAAGTAGTTGTAACTTATTTACCATTTTGTGAAGGAGTTAATATTCCTCTTTTACTTCTTGGCCTAATTTACACTTTTGTATAATTCACTTGCTGGCCACATTGGAGGGATTTTCTACTAAGGCTACACAAGAAAAAAGTTTGTCTCAGGCAGGTTCTGCTTATCCTGAGCTGACATTTTGATTCTCTTGCCTCCTCCTTCCTCTAACTCTAGGAGGAGGGGGGGAGCATGAAATTGTGCATGTACACATTAGACATTGTTTTTTAAGTCTTTCCACAACCCAGGCTAGCAACTCTCCTACTCAGCAAGTACATGCAGTAAGCAGTGCATAGTGGCCAGTGCATACAGCGATTAATGAATGCAGCAGCCAGTGCTACAGCAGTCCTCCTCCTCTGTAAGCCAGCATTTAGGACTTGGCAAACACCGTCCTAGGGGTTACTGCACTTTGCCTACTTGGGTGAATAAGCCAGCCTTAATATTTCCTCACGTAAACTTTAAACTCTGCTGATTAAGAGTATTCCAGGATCAGTGGGCAGCAACTTTGCCTTAAGGGGCTTTACCATTTTTATTTTAGCAAGATTTCTGCCATTACACAGAAAGGTGATTACCCTACTGATGCAGGAATCCCACAAATACAGATTTCATGTTCCTCCTTCTAACATGGTGTATAGGCTGAGTTTTTCCTTAGCCCATGGTCACCTGCATTCATTTCCCAAACTTTGGAGGCTTGGTCAAAATCTATGAACTTTCTACTAGGGCTACACAAGAGAAAGTTTACACTTGTTTTTGTCTCAGGCAGGACTGGACTCTGCTTAGCCTGAGTTGACATTTTAATTTTCCTGCTTCCTCCTTCCCTTAGGTCGAAATGGAAGGGAATGCAGGGCAGCAAGCATGTACACAATGGACAATGCAGTAATGCATGCACATAATGGACATTTTTCTTTTTGAAAGTCTCTTCTAGCACAAATCGTAGCAGCTCTCCTACTCAGACAGTACATGCAACAGCCAGTGTATAGTGGCCAGTGCATGCAGTGGCTACTGCACTGCTACAGCAGTTCTCTTCTTCTGTAAACCAGCATCTAGGACATGGCAGACACAGTCCTAGAGGTTACTGCACTTAGCCTACTTGGGTGATTCAGCCCAAGTTCTGCTGGTCTGCTATTACACGAGAGTGGTTGCCCTACTGCTAAAGGAATCCCACAAATTCATATTCTATTTTCCCTCTAACCTACTGCATGGGCTTGGGTGTTTCCTTAGCTCATGCTACCATCCACACTTATTTCCCAAACTTTGGAAGTTTGGTCAAAATCTCTACAAAGGGGCCTAGAGTGGTGGCTGGCTTTGGTACTCAGCCTACTTAATGGTGTTGACCAGAAGGCTGTTGCATTGAACTTTATTTTCAATAGCTGGATGCTATCCGAGTTATGACTCAGGTAACCCTTTCTCTTGACCTTGAGCAGATGCAGCAGATGTCCTGGTAGTGCCATGGGATCAATATTCCCTGATCTATACCATTCCTCCTTTAAAGCTTTTACTTTATCTTCTCTCATGATTGAAGTTGAGAGTATTCCATTCATTTATATAGCTTTAAACAATTCTTTTTTTTCTCGGAAGCTTCTATGAAGATCTGACTGCTTACTGCCCAGGGCTATTTAGCAGCTTTCAGATCAGTCTCCTCAGTGCTATGTGAGGCTGGCCTGTAATGTTTGCTTCAAGAACTGGATCCTGCATTAGACGCTCACCTTGGCATGTAGTGCAAAATGTGTAGTTAGCCACAGGGTGCTAAAACGGTCCAGGGCCATGGTCCATTTCTATAATTCCCAGACCCTAAGGACCACTTCAGAAGTATGCCCACTATGACGGACCGAAGCCTGAACCCTTAGTAAGATCAGTGTCATGGATAAAGTAAGATGGATGACACTGGTTCCTGGCTTTTATTAATACAATCTGTAGTGCATAGCACAGTATGTGGTTTTATTGGCAGAGGATTTAGGTATTGTTCACTTTATTGTAATAACCCCTGCCATTTTGTCTCTAACATTTCTCAACATGAACATTTTAAAATCTGTGGTTTTTCTTCTCCTAGATACAATAATCTCACAAGGATGAGCTAACTGCATCACACTTCCTGGAAGATGTATTCTTGTCAGGCTTTTCCATTGAAAATACACACATTATATTGATGCACTCCTGCTGCCATTTTCCACAGATACTCAGCCACAGAACACTGTCAGTGCCTTGGTTTAGCAGTTCTTTTATCCAGACACACAAAACCCCTTCCATTCTGAACTCCATAATATGAGTACCCTACTCAAGATCCCTTCAGTTCGCAATGGTGGATCACAGGTGCAAAGGGAGCTGGAAGAAAAGGAATGAATAGCACGCGTTTGCAGATGGCCACAGGAAATTCAAA